CTGAGGGTGAGCCCACGCCCCAGGAGGAGCCGGGCAGGACGTCAGAGAGGGACATGCTGACGTTTTCTCCGCTTTCTGCCACAGAGGCTCCCCCTGCCACCCCGACCCCACAAAGCATACCAGGTGCCACCTCCTGTGCCTGCCGCAGCCCCCTGGCCGGCTCCCAGGTGGTCCCAGCAGCTTGGTCTCGCGGCTGCCCCACCCCTGCTTCCCAGGGCTCGAACACATTCTCACCCCGTGCAGTGCACAGCAAAGAGTCCCGCTGGCATCCTGGCCTTGGAAACCCATTCATCCTCCAAGCCTGGTCAGCTGCCCGCACGGGACGCCGTTCAGCAGCGCCCATAGCTTTGCCAATCGCCTTGACACTATCGATCCATCTTAACTGGAACATCACCTCTCCTTTCCACTCGTTTCCCCAAACTTGTTGCTTTACTAGATACATGGAAATGTATGTTTTAGACACACCAAAAAGAACATGCCAAACAAGTGCCGTTCAGAGGCTGGAGAGGACGGGGTCTGGAGTCCTGCCCTCCCACCTTTTGGTGTCACCTCTGGTCCCTGAGCCCTCAGCCAGAGCACCGCCGCCGTCCACAAGCATTTTTTCATGATGTCCTACAGAAAGTCACAGTGTGTGGCAACTGAAGAAAGGATTTCGGGTGTGATCACAGTGCTGAGGGGAAGGCAGGAGGACACAGTGATTGTATGCAATGAAGTGTTTCTCTTGATTTAATTAAATGCAGTTTTATGGTTTGGTGCGTATATTCCTATTTTCCATTAAATTAACTTTATTTCTAAAGCATATTTTGATTTATCATCAAGAGCAATAAAGCATTAAATCATCTTACGTTTAAAGGTGTTCTGCTTTTTGAATTGAAAACTGTATCTACAGTTGTGAAATTTTGGCTTCTATAAACTCAACTGTTATCCCAGAGGATGGAAGGGAGCACTAAACACAAATCAGGTAAAAATGGAGGATAGTTTACGTGGGGCTGTTGAGTAAAAGTATTCAATAGTGAGTGAGAAGCTGGGGGGAGGCGGAGCCAGGAGGCCGACAGGCAGTGGAGTTAAATCCAAACACTTTCTCCCACCATTTTGAGGCCTGTGCACTAGACTCGAAGCTCACTGCTTTCACGTTTACTGAGATCGAAGCACGTATAGAATAAAAGCAAGGCTGGGGGGCTTCCCCGGTGGCGCAGTGGTTGAGAGTCCGCCTGCCTGATGCAGGGGACACGGGTTCCTGCCCCGGTCCGGGAGGATCCCACGTGCCGCGGAGCGGCTGGGCCCGTGAGCCACGGCCGCTGAGCCTGCGCGTCCGGAGCCTGTGCTCCGCAACGGGAGAGGCCACAGCAGTGAGAGGCCCGCGTACAGAAAAAAAGAAAGAAAGAAAGAAAGAAAGAAAAAACAAAAAAGCAAGGCTGGGATCTCCAGGGCTGCAGTTGGAGGAGAGGTCTGAGTGAGCCGTGGCTGGTCGGGGAGCTGCAGGCAAGCAAGGCCCTGCGGGGAGATGGGGCATCCCCAGCACCCAAGGGCCCCGCAGCCAGAGGATGCTACCGGGTCCCCGGTCACTGGCGGGACGGAGCCCGCAGTGATGGCTTCTGACTCAGACAAAGGAGGTGCCCTGATCACAAGGCTGACAGCTTCCAAGGTGCCACCTGAGCAGGTGCAACGCGCCCCGCCCCCAGGCCCAGGGCAGCTCCAGCCAGCGGGGCACAGGGCCAGGGGGGTTGGGGGGGGGGGACCAAGTCCAAAACGCCAGGTCCCAGCGGCTCAGGGTGGTGGCGTGAGTGGGCACAGACCGCTGGCAGTACAACCAGTAGGGGGACCCACCCTTGCCACAATTAGGGGCTAGGGTGGCTGCTTATCTGGGAGCCCCGGGGTTGGAGTTCTCTCTTTCAGAAACCTGCACAGAGCTAGGCTGGTGGGGTTGAGCCACACGGACCCCTGCTGGCCTGGGAGCCTCTGGGCCGAGGACCACGAGCAGAGCCAGGCCCAGGGCACCTGGCGCCGCAGCCTTAGTGCCAAGCCGGGTGCCCTGCAGGACCCGCTGAGCCAGCCCTCGCCAGGCCATGCCTGGGCCCGACCCTCTGGCTGGAGGTCCCGGTCACCCAGCTCCGCCAAGCCAAGGGAGCCTTTGGAAAGCAACTCCTGAGAAACCAAAGTTGACTTAACCTGTGCTGCTTTCTTAATCACCTTAACACGAACGCGCTTGTTAAGGCCTCTCCCCTAACCCTCCCTCCTCCCATATTCCCCTCCCCCACAATGCAATCCATTTATGTTTTGAGCACAGGAATCATTTATAAGAGGGGCCCCCAGCCTGCTCGTGAAGGATGTGCCCACAGAAAAGGTCTATGTAATGGATGGTCAGTGCATTTTATTTACTCAGCACAGTACAAAAATAAATAAAAATAAGGGAAGGGGAATTAAATTACAGCCAAACTGAGCTTCATGACCTTGTCAGATTATAAACCACACATACTTACAAACACGCTACGCATACATACAAAATGAGACAAATATAAATTAATATTAACAACACCCACAGTTTGGTCAAAGAATAGCTACAGAGGAAATTGCACTAAAAAACCAACATACATCGCACGTGTGTAATTAGCAGTTTCAAATATACAGCTATGAATAATTCCGAGAAAAAAAATGGCACATTTTCTTTTCATTGCAAGTTTAACAACGGCTGGAACAAAACTAAGTTCTAATAACTGCACGGAAAGAATATATCAACCCTTCAGGTTTACAAGAAAGAGAAAAACCAAATCCTGAACTATTATTCCTGTGACTTGTTCTGTGCACGGGTGTAATTTTCACAGCCATCTGTTCTAAGATTATTTTTCTTAAGACACAAAATGCTCCTGGTTTGCATGCACAATATCACTGTAAAAGCAACAATGAAAGAATAAAGGGTGGGTTTTTTTTGTAGGTTAGTTTTTTCTTTTTAATTGTTCTAAAAGTAGTCTTCATAGCAGCATGTCAAATGGGTTCATTGCTTGCACACTCAAGTATATCAGTTCCTTTACACAACACTGATGACCAGTGCAAGGGAGGGAGGAGACCCCACCAGGCTTCACATTGATGGAACTAGAGAGTTCTTTCCTTAGTCCCCAACCACTCCTGAAATTTGCACCGCCTCCAAAACTTAAAAAAATAAATATGGAGAGAGAAGGAAACACACAGAACTGGAATCCTGCGGATGCGCCTTCCCGCAGTTTCAGGCCCAGCACAGCCCGCGAGGGAGCGACTACAAACCCGAGTCGGCACCCGGACCCCCCTCTCGTGTGCCGCCAGGGCCCGCTGCCCCCACGGGCCTCCTACCTCAGGTCACACATGGCAGCAGGATCTGCACAGACGGGCTGGGTGACAACTCCAGCAGAGAAGAGGCGCCGCGGCGAGGTCCGCGCCAGCAGCCGCGGGTTCCTTCCAGCCCCGCGGCAGGTTATCTGGCTGGCGGTCCCGAGAAAGGCTCGGCGTGGGCCTCGGGGCGCAGCTGCGGCCAATGCTCTCCCGCTCCGGCAGGCCCTCTTCCTTGGGAGCACCACGGGCCCGCAGGCTCGGCTCCGGGCCTATTAAATCGGAACCTCAATTTCACAGCTTTTTCTTTCTTCTGTGAATTTCAGTAGTGCTTCTGCTGAAATCGGCAGCCACCTGGAAGCTAATCCTATGTAAAACGGCCCCCTGCTTCCCCCCAGCCTCCCCTTCCAGCACCCCCTGGGGGACTGGGACTGGAAGAGAGAATTCTCTGTAGCATCTTCACATCAGTCTTTGTTCCCCAAAGCCGAAGGGACAGAGGAAGACTTGCTCCCTTCTCTTGGTCCTCTCCCAAGCCCCATGCCACCGATCTGGGAGAATTAGAAAGAAAATTGATTAAGTACACATCATGTGTTTTTACAGCCACCAACCAGGCTAAGGTGGAAACCAAAACCAGCAGCTGCAAATGATCAGTTGTAGAATCAGCAGGCAATCAGTTCTGCTCCCGTCTTGTAATTGTCTCCAAGATCCAGCTGTCTCACTGGGCCTTTCGGGACAAGGCTTCACCTTCAGAAGAAACTGAACTGTTTGGGAACAGCTTTAAATCAACAGGGGTGAGGGCGGGGGTACATCATCACCACATCACCCTGATCCCTGACATCACCCCCCACCGCCCCGCAGCTCTGCAGGACAAATGTCACGTGCACCAGCAAGAGGCCTTAGCCCTTAGGTGAGCACCGGCTCAGTCCCAGGCATGGCAGCCCCACCTGCCCGGAAGGCAGGCTGTTGACAATGGGCACCTGAAGCTGTCCTGGCCTTCACCACAGGGTGACTAAGCTGCATGATTCAAATGAAAAATTCACCCAGGAAAGGAGCTGTCCCCACCTTCACCCCACCCCTTTAGAGCTGGGACCCAAAATGAAAGAACTTAATGAGTCAAACCAGCTTGTTAACCAACACTGCCAACACCGCTGGGAGCAGGGGGAGGTGGGCGAGTTCCACGTCTCCACAAAAGGAAAGCCCTTGTCCCTAAAAAAGAAAAAAGAGCAAACCGGGTCGTGCATGGTCAAACGACAGGACACAATCTTTGCACCAGGCCGGCTTCCCCTCAATTGAAGAGGCTGTCCCAGGGCCACGGGCATCTTGCCTCACGACCCCACATGCGGCTCAGTCAGGGTGGCTGGCTCCAGGAGCCTCTGGGAGAATGGAGGACCCAAAACGGGACCCGGAAAAGGGCTTCCAACCAGAAACTCTGCACTGCCTGGCTGTGGGGAGCAGAGGGCAGCCTCCCCTGCCTTGATCCAGCAAGAGCACAGGCGGCAGAGGCAGGTCAGTTCTTTGAATTCCCCAAAGTGAGAGGTCAGGAGCCAGGGTGGCTCTGAATACATCTTCTGAATTTTGCACAAGGTTCGGGAGTTCAAAAGCATCCAGAGTTCTTGGCAGGGCTGAAGAAAACCCCAAGGAGAGAAGGTGGGAAGGGAGAGGCCCTTCGTGGCTTTGCTAGACACATACTGTACACAAAATCTGATTTAATAATAAATTTTTAAAAATGAATTGAATCCTTGAGCCGTGATGCAGGCTAGCAGGCTCACCGGTCCAGCCCTAGGAGGAGCCGCTTCTTGTCCTCCTGGCCACTCTCGTTCTTCAGGTCGGAGAACACCTGTGTGAAGTAGTGGGGGTCGGCGTTGATCTGCAGCATCTTGGAGCTCATGAGGTTGATGACGGAGAGGCAGCGGTCCCAAAAGGCCTCCTTGCAGCTCTCCACCAGGAAGGGCTTGAGCGGGTAGGAGATCTCATTGCCCATGTAGGAGTAGGAGAGGTACAGGCAGGTCAGCAGGACGGCCTGGAGCTCGTGGTCGGAGCCCACCTCGGAGGAGATGACATCCCGGCAGAGCATGTAAAGGAAGACCACGTTGGCGGGCGTGATGAAGCCCTGGTCCTGCCAGCCCTGCAGGAGCAGCGAGCGGTCCACGCTGCGCAGCCAGAGCACAGGGTCCGTGGGGGACAGGTGCTTCAGGCGGTAGCACCGGCGACAGAGAAACTCACCCAGGCAGCGCAGCAGCTCGCTGGTGGACGCCTGGACGATGACCCGTTTGGGCGTCCCTGCGGAGGTGACGGCAGGATGCGGGGCCTTCTTGACGGAGGAGGAGACCCCGGTCTGGGAGCCCGAGAGCTGGCTGGCAGGGGGTGCGGGCGGCTGCGCCGGTGGGGGCTGGGCGAACGTGGACAGGTTGGCGCACGACAGCGACTTCTTCAGGTTCTCATTGTTGAGGTGCGTGATGTTGTTCTGGTAGCTGCTGTTGGGCTGCACCTTCTTGGAGTTCTTCTTCTTGGCCGACACGGCCACGATCCTCTTCCAAGGCAGCACGGAGATGATAGAGTGCCGCTTCAGGTTCTTGTCCTTGGCGTTCTTGCTGTTCTGCACGGCCGTGTAGTGGCCCACCGTGGCCGCGCCATCCTCAAACAGCGTGGCCTTCCGGTAGCTGGGGGACAGGGACAGCACCGTGCCCATGGTGCCGCTGCGCGCCGGGCGGGGACCTGCGCCCCTGCGCGCCCAGCCTGCCGGCCGGAGGGACGAAACAGCTCACCGAGCCCGAGGCGGCCAGGGGGAGGCCGGGGCGCTCCCGGGGTCGCGTGCCGCCCCTTCGGATCTGTGTGGAAAACAAGATGGTTCTCAGCACCAGGCGGGGCTCGCGTCGCGCTCCTCCGCCCCGGCCTCGGCGGCCCCGCGGACCTGGCCCCGGACC